TGTTCTTTCCTACCAAAATGCTTCTCCTCACTCACAAATAGCATCTACTGTACCCTGCATCTCAGATTAAATGTCAATTCCTTAAGAATGTGACTCCTGCTAAGACTAGCTCAGAATTCTATACATGCTCGTTTTCTTTACAACACTTACCTCATTTTTAAATTGTGCCCTTACTTATGTGATTGTGGAGTTAATAAGTATCTTTGCCCCTTGCCTTTAAGTTCCACAAAGGCAAGAACTCTACCAGTCAGATTGTTGGTTGTAAGCAACAGAGACATTCTAATAGCAACATGCTCTACCCAACTGAGCTAACCGGCCAGGTGCTAAGAAACTGATTCTAGCTAAATTTAATGAAAAAAAAAAATTATTGGGAGGATATGAGTAAGTTCACAGAGTCAACGGGAAGACTGGAGAACCAGATTCAGAAAATGGTAAGCAACTAAGGTTCGCTGGACAGTAGGAACATGGCCAAGGTCAAGCAATGAGACAGTCTGATGGAAACGCCCCACTGATGCTGCTACCAGTGGGTACACGGCAGCCATGGAACAGCTGTACACATTGCTGGGAGTAATTGAGCAGGTGGCCTGATGTACCTTCATGTCCTTTAGATCAGTGTCCAAGGCAGGAAGGTTCAATGGCTGTGCCTGGTCACATGCCGTATCCCACCAGCCAGGGAACAGGGTCATCGGGCCTCCCACTAAGATTCACAAAATGAGGTGCTTCTCCCATTTGAGAAGGTTGTGGGGATGCCAGGTAAATTGGAAAAAAAAAAACCTGACAAATGAACACCAGAGAAACCAAATCTGTTCAATTCATGATATATTCCCCCAATCAGCACAATATCTGACTTAAAATAAGACAAAAAATACTTGAAGGAATGAACGAGTGATCTACCCTCAGCATCCTTAAAGACACAGGTTGTCCAACTTGGGACTGTTTCAGGATAACCACCTACAGTCACTCAGGGTGTCTACACTGCAGGTATACCCAGAACCAGGCAAACTGGCCATTCAGTCAAGCTTATTTAGGCACAATCAGAAGACAAGAGCTCTGTGAGGTAGAATCAGTAGATATTATCAGACCCATTTGATGATGCCAATGTGAAGTTCAGGGAGGTGAACTACCACATTTAAGATCACCTAGCTGAGAAGAGAAAACCAAGACATAAAGTATAAACTTGCTGACCTAGTTGATACCTTCTATATCACATTGTGGTTCGATGGCATATAATAATGTGCTTCCCATCAAAATAGTTGGGTGGACAGAACATTCCCTCAAAGAGCATCAGCTAACAAGGGATTTGAGAGTGGTGGGTAGTACTAAGGAGACTGAGTCACATGCAGTGTGGGAGCCCTGAGTGCACAAGCCTTCTGAGGGTTAGCATGAACCAGCCAAGGGATTGGTGTCTCTGTCTTTTCCAAGGAGACATGATGCCATGCATTGGTAAGCTGCCTGCTGTTAATGTGTTCAAACCATCACTGCGTATCTTTTCTCTTTCCCTTCTCACCCACCTCGGTCTGGCCTCCTTGCACAGCGTGGATGTGAATTTGCCCCTAAATCGAGGACATACGGCTGTGTGGAACCTGGGGAGGCAGCTCTCCTGCCTTCAGTGTACCCTAGAAGTGAATGGGCTCAGCCCCCTCCGCCTCTCCCCCTCCCGACAATTCCTTCCTGAAGACTGTCATAAAAAAAAGCAATCAAGAAACGTCTAGTGGTATTTAGCAAAGACAGAATGGTTTCAGGAGGGAAATTACAGCTGGAAGATGTCCACCAGGGTTCTCTATTGGTTGTAAAAGAAATCAATTATGTTCCCAAACAGTCCTTGGAGGGATTCTATCTAGGTCCCTGAGACTAAGCGTCTTCACTACTTGGCAAGGAGTGTGGGTCTCTACCCTGCAGTGTCATAGGGTAGGGTGTAGTGGTAAAACACAGACTCTAAGGAGGGGAGCCTAGCTGTACTCCTTACCAGCGATGTCATTGCTGGAAAGTCTTTTTTTTTTTTTTTTTTTTTTGCTTTAGTTTCCTCATCAGTAAAACAGGAACAGCAAAACATACTTCATTTTCATGGAGTTATTGAGAAATAAATGAGAGCATCAGGATGAAAACACCGTAGGGCAGTGTTTGCCATGTCCTATGTGCTTAATAAATGGCAGCCATAGGTATCAGTTCAATTTGACACACTTTCCTGAGAGCTTATTAGTTGCCAGGCACCCTGGACAACCCAGTGTGGGTTATAGAAATAACTCCCCCAGAATCCCTTTTTCCCCTTGGAAAGGCCTGATTCAAAAAAAGGATGGAGGAGAGGGCCATGGGAGAAACAGCTCTTCTGTAACTAAACACAAAAATGCACCCTGCCTTACAATTCCACAGAGGCAAGATAGTATATTGGTTACGCACATGAGTTGGGGGCCATCTTCTATGTGGTAGACAGAATAATGCCCCCCATCACCAAAGATGCCCACTCCTAATCCCCCAAACTTGTGAATATGTTACATTACATGGCAAAAAGGACTTTGCAGATGTGATTAAGGTTAGAGACCTAGAGAATGGGATAATCTAATCTGGCATTATGTGGGTAGACCCAGTCTAATCACAAGTCCTCGTGAATGGGGAACCTCGCCCAGAAGCGGCCAGAAAGAGATGAGACACGGTGGAAGAATGGTCAGAGGGATGTAGCGTGAGAATTCAGCTTGCCATTGCTTGCTGCAAAGAGGAAGGGTGGGACTATGAGCCAGGGAAAGCGGATTGCCACTACAGACTGGGGAAAGCCCTTACTTTACACTGCCAGTAAGAAAGCAGAGACCTGGGATCTACAACAGAAAAGGAAATGAATTCTGCCAACAACCTGAATAAACGGAAGATAAAATTTCCCCTGGCATCCCCAGAAAGGACCACAGCCCTGCAGGCAGCTTAATTTTTAGCCTACTGAGATTTATATAGGACTTCTGACCTGGAGAATTACCAGATAATGAATGTGTGTCAACACAGGAAATTAGCAAAAACTAATATGCTCTGGCTTGCAAATTTACAAATTGGGAGGCAGTACAGCACACTGGATTTGAGGGCCAATCTGCCCGGTTCTAATCCCAGAAGTGCCACTTACTAGATCTGTGACCACAGGCAAGTAATTTCCCCTTCAGTGTCTTAATTTTTTCATCAGTTACACGAATAATAATACAGCCACTCAAACTAGCGAAAGAGTATGTTAAAGTAAAATAAAAGACTATTACAGAGACCTATAATATAATTTCAAAAGCAAGACATTCATTTCCTTCTCATATCATAATAAAGGTGGGCCACTTGGCAAGGGCAGCTTTTTCTTTTTTTGTATATAATTTATTGTCAAATTGGCACCCAACAGGTGTCCTCCTCAATGCCCATCACCCACTTTCCCCTCCCTCCCACCCTCCATCAACCCTCAGTTTGTTCTCAGTTTTTAAGAGTCTCTTATGGTTTGCCTCCTTCCCTCTCTGTAACTTTTTTTCCCCCTTTCCCCTCCCCCCCGGTCTTCTGTTAAGTTTCTCAGGATCCACATATGAGTGAAAACAAATGGTATCTGTCTTTCTCTGCCTGACTTATTTCAGTTAGCATAACACTCTCCAGTTCCATCCACGTTGCTACAAAAGGCCAGATTTCATTCTTTCTCATTGCCAAGTAGTATTCCATTGTATGTATAAACCACATCTTCTTTATCCATTCGTCAGTTGATGAACATTTAGGCCCTTTCCATAATTTGGCTAATGTTGAACATTGGGGTACAAGTGCCCTTATGCCTCAGCACTCCTGTATCCCTTGGGTAAATTCCTAGCATGCTATTGCTGGGTCATAGGGTAGATCTATTTTTCATTTTTTGAGCAACTTCCACATCTTTCCAGAGCAGCTGCACCAGTTTGCATTCCCACCAGCAGTGCAAGAGGGTTCCCGTTTCTCCACATCCTCTCCAGCATCTATAGTCTCCTGATTTGTTCATTTTAGCCGCTCTGACCAGCGTGAGGTGGTATCTCAGTGTGGTTTTGATCTGTATTTCCCTGGTGAGGAGTGACATTGAGCATCTTTTCATGTGCCTGTTGGCCATCTGGGTATCTTCTTTATAAAAGTGTCTATTCATGTCTTCTGCCCATTTCTTCACTGGATTGTTTTTCGGGTGTGGAGTTTGGTGACTTTATAGATTTTGGATACTAGCCCTTTTATCTGATATACCAACCAGGTGGCCATGGCTCTGCCTTTGTAAATAGGTGACTTCCAAGGTTGCTCTAGCTCCCTAATAGTGGAAGTCCAGGGACAGAGACATCCCCTTAAGAAAGTACAATGGAAGTGCTATTCACATTGTTGGAGAGAGCTTAACCATTTCTAGTTATTTTTTCCCCAGGTTCTTGGGGGCCTTGCTGTCATTCTAACAAGAGTGATCACTTACAAATACATACTCAATTTTTCATGTCTTCTATCTAATCTTTAAATTTCTTTAATGTTTATTTATTTTTGAGAGAGAGACAAAAGATAGAGTACAAGCGGGGGAGGGGCAGAGAGAGAGAGAGAGAGAGAGAGAGAGAGAGAGACATAGAATCCGAAGCAGGCTCCAGGCTCTGAGCTGTCAGCACAGAGCCTGATGCAGGGCTTGAACTCACAGACCGCAAGATCATGACCTGAGCCGAAGTCAGTAACTCAACCGAGTTACCCAGGCGTCCTCTTATATTTTTTTTTTTTTTTTTTTTTTTTTTTAAGTAAACCTATCCCCAACGTGGAGCTTCAACTCATGACCCTGAGGTCAAGAGTCGCATGCTCCCCCAACTGAGCCAGCCAGGCGCCCCTCTTCTATCTAATCTATAAAATCAAGCATATTAGATAAGACTCTACCTATTTCACAAAGGCACCTGGCTGGCTCAGTCAGTTAAGCATCCAACTTCGGCTCAGATCACGATTTCACGATTTGTGGGTTCAAGAGCAGAGCCTGCTTGGGATTCTCTCTCTCTCCTGCTTGGGATTCTCTCTCTCTCCCCCTCTCTCTGCTCCTTCCATGTGCTCTCTCTCTCTCTCTCTTTCAAAATAAATAAATAACTTAAAAAAAAAAAACACCTAAGAAAAAATGGGAGTATAAAAGACCACATAACTTCAAATCCCATACACTTTACACCTAACCAAAGTATCTCTCCCATTTAAGTGGTACCAAAAAGCTAAAGAACAACAGGACAATGTAAGAACAGAAATGATCCAGAAAACAATAAACAGGAGACTAACTAGGGAGACAAGTGGAGCAAACACTAGACAAGATAGAAATCCGAGTATTGGCGCTCTAGGGTAATGCTGCCACTATGTGCCTGACTTGGGAAAATCCATTCTCCTCTCTGGGCCTCTATGTCTCCATCAGCAAAATGGAGTCGCGGATTCATTGATCCTTTTTCCAGCTCTGTGTGGTGATTCTATTTGGAAAACAGTGAAGCCAAAAATATGTGAGCAGGGGGAAAGGCTATGATTTTTCAAATCGCTCCAATTAAGGAAATAGCAAGAGTGGAGAAAGTCCCGGGACCGAAACAAGGAAGCCAGATGAGCCTCCCACGGGGCTCACAAGACAAGCCGTGACCTGTTTGGTGAGCCACACCTGCTCCTCACATTCCTTCCAAGGGCAGTCCAGGCCTGTGCACACAGCAGTGAAGAGGAATTCTGAGGGGAACTCCTGGAGGTAGAGACTAAACCCCGGAATATAGCTAGTTCTAGATACTCCTGCCCTCAGCAGATGCAAGCTGAGTTTCAAAACATACGTGTGAGGGGTTCTTCCTTAACACAAGTGAAGAAGAAAGGTGTCTCAACCCGCTTGGTGCCTAGGAGAACAGCCTGGGCTAGGAAGCCAAAGACAAAAGTTCTCAACCCTGGCTTTAGCACGCCGAGGATGTGTGATTCAGAGCTACCCAAGCTCTTTGGACCTCGGTTTTCTGTCACATGAAATGGATAAGGTCTATAGGAGAGGAGCAAATTTAAGATACCCTGAACTCTAAGTGCTCATATTGTTCCAGGCACTTTATCAATTACTGCCCTTAATCTTTGCATTGATGAAAGAGATCTGCAGTTTCATGCAACACAAAGGGAAACTGCAGAGAGGTAAGGGACTTACCTACTTACCTGCCTAGTGGAGAAGGATTCGAACTCAGGTTTGTCATCACTTGGGCTATTTCCAGGAAGCCCACGTCTCAAAGACGATTCATGTACAAAGTGCTTTTGTGAAGTATTAAGTGCAATAAAGTGCAAAGACTCTTAGTCCTGAATTAATGCAGAAATTTAGAAATTATCCAGAAGGGACAGTCTATGAAGAAATTGGCACTTTCAGGGCTTTTTCCTTTGTTTAGCCGCCCACTCAACCCTCAGTCTGTTTATTTTGTAGGCAGTCAGGTGAGTTTTTTGAAGTGACTCTTGAAACAATGGCAGTCTGCTGTAGTAAAAAGAATGCCAGCCTGTCTAGTTTCCAGCTGTGCCACGGGAACATTCATCTCCAGAAGTCACTAGCCTGTTCCCTCTGTAAAACGAGGGGCTAGGTTTGAGGGGCCATGGTCTCTTGAGCTAAGCTGGCTATTCAGTGACTCAGGGAAGCTGCACGAACGGTCTCACACTATTACAGTTCCCATGCTGGCCCCGGCCCCTTCCACTTTGAGGAAGCCAGCCAACATCCATCTTCTCCCCCTCCCCCTCCCCCTCCAAGCCCCATCTGAACCAGAGAGGACTTTGGGGGGGGGGTGGGGGCGGCGCCCTAGCAGGCGTGCTTACAGATTTAGGGATCCGCCAGCCACTGCCCCAAGCCGGAAAGACCGCTGCTGAAAGATACCACCCCCTTTTCTTACCTGTGTTTCAACCTTTGTGGGGCAGGCGGAAACCACAGGGCAGGAGTGGGAGGAGGCATGATGGATTCCCGGGGAAGAAACTGAAATCCTGACTTAGCTATTTGCTGTCAGGGGTAGCAACCACTCCCTCCTTTGTGCACACCCATTGTTGCCCCAGTTTCCCAGTAATTACCCTAACTTGTTTACCTGCAGGCTCCCCAACAGTGAGTGCCCTTCTAACACACTCCACATAAATGAATGCGAAGGGGTGAAAATGAGGAAGTAAGCATGAAGGAGCCAGGTTGCCAGTTTTTACAGCTAATAGGAAGCAGAGGTTTTTAAAGTGTATTATTGGTGAAATTTTAGGAGAACAACCTGGGTGCGTGCCACCCCCGCACTTCCGCGGCCAGAGAGTAAGGCCCACTACAGACTAGCTGTAACTACTTGGAAGCTTCCTTTAACCTGTCTGGGAGCCACAATACTTGGCAATTAAGTAAACTGCCAGGGGCTAAATGGACAGAATACCACTACTTGAGGCAGGGCAGGCATTCAAAGAACTACCGCATTTCTTTCTCCACCGGAGGTTCTTGAGAGAACCTAAAACTGGTCCCCTTTCCCTACAACAGCAGCTCGTTTTAGCCGCCTCCTTCAGACCCACCCTTATGCAGTCTGAGGGAGGCTTCCAATCTTATTTAGAAAAGCCAGTATTTAAACCAGCCTGTTAATGCATCTCAGGAAAACAGGAGAGGCAAAATGAAATGCCTGCTCCTGCAAAAAATAAAATAAAAAACGTGTTAGGATTTGAAATGAGAAATCTGAGCCCAGGGAAATGAGAGGACCTGAACGTGATGTAAACCTGGAGCGAGTTTTCACAAACTCCCATCTTTTGGTCTGTGCCTTTTCCATATTTTATTACATTTGTGTTTTTAAAAAAATCACATTAGCATTATCAACGACAAAATATGTACAAACATTTTACAAAAGAAACATTACTAATATCAGCTATAATAAGGGCGGGCTGAAGCACAGACGCGGAGTTTCGGGGGCCGAGTCTGCCCTCAAAAGACATCTCAAATGTGTTCAGGCAGTTGAGACAGGCTTCTTTCCCGGTGACAAGCACATGTGGTCGGTAATACAAACGACAGCAAATGAGGACAGTACACGGGCTCAGTTGGCGAAATCCTCTTCTCACCAGGAAGGCCACGACACAAGTGGAGCTAATCAAATAACTTAACCCAGGACGGTAAAAGCGCCGTTCCCCCCACCTAAGCGCATTTAAGCCTTCAACATCGATTTCAAACGACGCTGGACTCTAATACAGACACGTGCTTCTTAGAACCCTGCGCCACACTTTAACTCTTCGAGCCAGGTTTCTCGTTGGACCCAAAGGGGAGGAATTTTAGAAATGCTTTCTCTGAAGGCAGAAGTCAGAAAGAGGTGACCCTGAGCCCAGAATCTATTAGACTTGATGGGGTGGGGAGAGGCAGGAATTAGAAAAGAGAAATGTCTCCTTTGGGCCACGAGCCAAGAAGCATGGCTCACTTTGGTCTGGGTACCCCGCCCTACACCCCCCCTGCCCCGCCGGTACCTACAAGCTCGGTTCCTTTCTCAACTCCCCCAGTTCTTTGACCTCCACCTTCTTGTACTTCCCCGACTTCCTCCGGTTGGTGATCACCAGGACGGCCACGCCGGCGACGAGGGCCACCACGACCACCACGATGACGGCGATGAGGCCGGCCGTGAGGCGCTTCATGGAGAACTCTGGGGGCTTCTCGTCCAGGTAGTAGATGAGCGTCCTCTCCACTAGGAGGGGCTCGCCGCGCACGCGCACGTCGAGGCCGCCGCGACCCGGGAACAGCGATTCGCCCTTGACGTCTCTCTCGAAGTAGTAGGCGGCGTCGGCGATGTCCACGTCGCCGGGGGCCTTCTCGGACGCGTTCTGCCGGAGCTCGATCTGGATGGTGGGCCGCTCGTAGTGCACGGCCGCCACGAACCTGGGGTGCAGCCGGTAGCGCTCACGGAAGAGCCGCCGCAGCTCGGCGTCCAGGTCCGAATGGTTGAAGGCGCGGGCGGCCGGGCGGTGGCGCAAGTCGATGAGGATGTGGTGGGTGCGCACCAGCTCGTCGCAGCGCAGACTCAGGTCGCCCTTGTCCGTGCGGCGCACGCCCACCGAATTCACGCACCAGCACACCGACGTCTGGTTGCACTGGCGGGCCTTGAAGCGGCCCTCGTGGTCGCAGTCGGGGTCGTACAGGCCGTCGTTGTCCACGAGCGCGTGCTCGCTGGGCCGCACGAGCGCGCGGCCGCTCTTGGGGGTGCTCATGCGCGCCTTGAGCAGCAGGCACTTGGAAGTCAGCGTGGAGCAGTCCACCGGGAAGCCCGAGCCCAGCGCGCGGCACTGGCAGCGGCCGCCGGGGCCGTCCGCGCGGCACAGGGTCATCTTATTGGTGGCGCACGTGCAGTTGTCCTGCGCGGCCGCAGGGCCGGTCGCCGCCGCCAGGAGCAGCAACAGCAGCAGCGGCAGCGGGAGCGACGGCAGCGCGAGGCCCGGCTCCCGGGCCATGGTGGGGACGCGGAGCGCAGACGGGACGCGGGCGGATCAGGCGCTGGGGACTCCGCGGGGCTCCGGCTCCGAGCTGGGACAGTCTCCGGGCATCTGCCGCTGGCCGCTCCCTCCCGCTCTTATACTCCGCCCGACCTGCCCGGCTGGTTCGGCCGACTCACCCTCTGGTATTTGGGTGACACATCCCGCCCCCCGTCACCGTCCCACGGAAGGCACAGCCCGCCCTGCGCCGCCCGCGATAGGATCAGGGGAGCGGTGGCTGCTCCCGCCTCCTCCGGACCGAAAGCCCGGGAGAAGAAAACCGATACTCACCTGCGGGCTGCGGGGGCCCCGCCCCCGGCCCGCCCGACCCCACCTGGGGAGGGGCCGCGGTCGGTGCGGCCTCCAGCCAGACCTCCGTGGGCGTCCTGGCTGCCCTCCTGGACGGGAATTCTTAGGGATTTCATTGACAAGTAGGGTCGTCTCGCGCGAGGTCGTCTCGCTTTTGTCCCCTATCCGCTTGCCTTTCTCGCTCCGTTTCCTACCCTCTATCGCTACCCTACCCCCAGGTCTTATAGTAGCAGTCAGTTGCATAGTTCACAGTTCACAAGCATTATCTCATCCTCTCCTAGGTCCTGACAGGTATTATGGACAATGTTTCAGACCCATTTTATAAGCGATGCAGTCGAGGCCGAGGCGTAAAGTCACTCAACCGTCAATATCCTCAGATCCTTCGGAGGGGTCTTTGGTAATCTGCCTGGCAGTTATGAAAACTTACATCAATGTGTATGGAAACTGAAAGTTAGGGAGTTTTTGTTACTCACTGTATCATGAGTAAAACCCAGGTGCCCTGGTGTCCAATGCGTCAGAAATTCTGTTAAACACCATTTTCCTTTACACACACACACAGACACACACATACACACACACACACACACACACACACACACACACAGAAACAAATAATGTTTATACATGAACTGAGTATCGGGAGACAAAAAGGAACTAGTTCTTAAAAAGAACAAGCAAGAGTATAAGGGGTTCTTTGTGCAACTTGATTCTAAAAGAGTAAATCGTTGCTTTTCTTTCTCTGTGTCCCATATAAGTTGCTGCACCACTGCAAATGAGGAAAGAATACAGACTGTGGGAAATTGGCTGGTCTGCCTCTGTGTGGCTACTTTAATGGGATAGAGGGGTTGCAATCTCTTTTTTGAATCATTGAGAAAGTCCAGGGTTTCAAAGCTGTGGTAAAATTAACAATAATTAGCAAGCTGTAATTATTCCCAGCTCGTCCGTTCAAAGCACATTTTTATGTGTTCAGCATTTAATGAACACCAGCAGCAGTACAAGGGTGTTGTTTAACACATGAAAGCCAGCGAGGCCTCTACCCCATTAATTTTCAAGCAATTCCTGAGGCGGGCAGGTGGAAATACAACATTCTGCATTTATAGGTAGAGAAAGCAGAGTCACGTGAGGGGCAATTTCTTACCCATAAGCCCCGGGCATTGTGGGAATGCTCCCCGGCTCTCTACCACCACTGTCTCTGTTTGTATGTTCAGGTTCTTTTTTTTTTTTAGGTTTATTTTATTTTGAGAGAGAGAGAGAGAGCATGTGCATACGAGCAGGGGAGGGACAGAGACAGAGACACAGGATCCCAAGCAGGCTCTGCACTGTCAGCACAGAGCCCCATGCAGGGCTCCATCTGACCAACCTTGAGATCACGACCTGAACCGAAATCAAGAGTCAGCCAGTCAAGTGACTGAGCCACTCAGGCGCCACCCTCTGTTTAGGTTCTTGAACCAAAAGCCTAGTCAGGTTCCACTGTCTTTTCCCTTCTCCAACACCCAGTCCTCCCTGTGGTCAGAGAAGGCTTTCTAAATCACAAATTTGTGTCTATCTCTGCGGAGAACAGAGTGGGAGGTGCTCTTGGCTCTTGGTATAGAATTCACACTTTTTAAAAAAATGTTTTTTTCAACGTTTATTTATTTTTGGGACAGAGAGAGACAGAGCATGAATGGGGGAGGGGCAGAGAGAGAGAGAGACACAGAATCGGAAACAGGCTCCAGGCTCGGAGCCATCAGCCCAGAGCCCTACGCGGGGCTCGAACTCACGGACCGCGAGATCGTGACCTGGCTGAAGTCGGACGCTTAACTGACTGCGCCACCCAGGCGCCCCCACACTTTTTTTTAAAAGAAGGATATCCATCACACAATTTAAGTGTATTTATTTATTTTTGAGAGAGAGAGAACAAGCAGGGAAGAGGCAGAAAGGGAGAGAGAGAATCTCAATCAGGCTTCTCACTGTCCACGCAAAGCCCAATGTGGAGCTCAAACCCATGAACTGCGAGATCATGGCCAAGCTGAAATCAAGAGTTGAATGCTTAACTGACTGAGCCACCCAGGCGCCCGTAGAACAGTATCTGTTCTAACAGTGTCTGCACTTAGTATAAGCATGGATAGGGGTCAGCTGCTGTCGTGGTCACCACCACCATCAGCCCCCTCATCTTGATTCTGCTAGTGTCTCCAGTCTTCTTCACATTTTCAAGCCTTTGTCAAGTCGTGTACTCTCCCCTCAGCTATTTAGTGTATAATTGTGCGTTTCTACTGAGCCCTTGGAACGCTTCCAGGAAGCCTCCCCTGAGAGGCCCTGTCTATTGCACTCAGGGGAGTGCTCCCTCTCTGTGCTTTCCTAAATCCTGTAATGCACCAGACTTTTCTGGGCTTCTGTCTGCCCACGTGTAAAATGGAGATAATAGCATCTCTCTATTTCATGAGACATTCCAACAACCAAATCTAAAATAGATGAGACGGTAGATACCAAAGTTTTGTAAAATGTAAGACACGGTCAACATGTCAGGTTGCATTTTTATTTTTTAAATATCCTTTTTGTTCTACCAGCTCCTGACTAGGTAGCCACAATCCTCTATACGGGGCAGAGCTACCTGCTTGTTAGTCCAGTGCTTCCCAGGCTGGCAGCAGGAAAGCTAATGGGGAAGGGTTCGCAGGACTGAGCAATGTCCACAATGGTGCTTTTGGCTGCTTAGCTAGATCAGCCCCAAATGGCTGGACCTTTCTCAGGCGAGAGCTCTGAGGTCTCCAAACCTTGGCCTTTTTCATCCATGGTAAGTGTTTGGGGGATGCGGATAAAAGGAGCCCATTCTCAGTATCCTCTGTGGAAGATGGAGGGCCACCCCACCCTCTTTCCTTTCTTAAATTCTATGATCTGCCAGGCTTTCCCCCAACAGGCACACAAACACTATGATAAGTAATGTTTTTGTCTTGTTTTTACTTTTTAAATTTATTTTGATTTTTACTTTATTTTAGAGAGAGAGCACAAGCGGGGGAGAGGGGTAGAGGGGCTGAGGGAGAGGGGAAGAATCTTAAGCAGGCTTCATGCTCAGCTTGACATGAGGCTCGATCCCATGACCCTGGGATCATGACCTGAACCAAAATCAAGAGTCAGTTGATAGTTTTGGTGCTGCTTGTTTTTTATTGTTTTTGTATAGATTCTTTTGGGAGTTAGTTGGGAAATATTTTATTATGTTTTTAAGTAAGCTCTATGCCCAACATAAGGCTTGATCTCACAACCCCAAGACCAAAAGTCACATGCTTTGCTGACTGAGCCAGCCAGGCACCCCTAAGATGAGCTTATTAAGTAAGCACAGCCTAAGCTCTGATTCTCCTTTCTCGTTTCATCCCTTTTCTGAGTAGGTCTGTAAAATTTCACGTGTTAGCTTTAGCTCTTTGTATTTTTTTTTTCATTTTAATTTTCAAGTATTTAACAAAAGCATTCCATGAACTCAGCCTTGTCAAATGTATACCAGGGAGAAGAACCATATCTGAGCACTATAACCCCAGCGCCAGCATATATTTAGGGGCTCGGTAATGTTTATTGGGTTAATTAACATTGAGTTGTTCCCAGAATGTTACAGTATCAATATACATTCCTGGGAGTGTTCATTGTGACCATTTCAATTCTCTGCTGTCCATTTCTCATCGCCTACTCCAACCATGAATCTCTATCCTTACCCTAACGCAACCTTCAAACACCCAGTTTCAAGGAAGACTGAGTAATGATGAACTGTTACTTTTGCTTTTATGTATGATCCCAAACTTTCATCAGACTGTGCTATAGGGAATAGAGATAGAGTCTGACAGTCTATGAGCAGATGGGGATTCTGGAGGCAAGCAGTCCAGTGAGGTTGAAGGAAAATGGACTTTGGATCTAGTGAGACTCAGGCTCAAATCCTAGTTTCACATAACTTACTGGCTGTGTGACTTTGTACAAGTTACTTCACCCCTGGGAGCCTCAGTTTCCTTAATTATAAAATTTCATGTCTATCTCTTAAAACTTAATGTCTCCATCTCCCCAACATCTGTGAAAAGGATAATTTCCCACCTTGTGATTATGAACATGCTTTTCTTCAGTTGAAGTTCCTACTTCTCATATGTTCTTATATTCTGTTTTCTAAACTGGTGTTGATTATCTGACTTCGCTTGGTATGAGACCAATAAGGGTGTGATTTAGTAAAAACAAAACACAAGAACAAAACTCTAGCTGATTAGTAAAAAAAAAAAAATACTTACCATCTATAATTACTTTAATGACTCAAGATAAAGAATATAAAATACCCAACACAGTGTTTGGCATGTACTAAGTAGAATTAACCTTAGCTGTTATTATAAGCCATCTCAGGAGTGTGAGGATGCTTTGAGATCATTAAAGGTTTCTGCACAAAGCTGGTGACTGCGGAGATTGCCAAAGATCAGGCCCAAGGAGCTGTTTGTTAGGGAGGGGAGCTGCCCCAGGGCCCTTGTCATCCTGGCCCCCTATTTTACAGAATGTGGAAACAGAGACCTTGGGAGGAGAAGAGAAGGACTTGATCATGGTCACATGCTTGTGCGTGGTAAGGCCAGGCCTAGAATCTGGGTCTCCTGACAGCACATGTACATACAAATTAACAAAAATGGAAGAGGACTGAAGGAGTCAAGAGGATAGAGTCTCATCTCATGTTCCTTGGATTTTCTTTTCTTTTTCTTTCTTACCCTTAGAAAGTTGTGGTTTTGCAAAAAGCAAAAAAGAGCTACTTGTGTAGGGCATAGCAGAGAGCCCACACCTGAAACCCTAGGACTTAGGCCATTAACCACGACTTCCTCCCACGCTAGAGTGGACGTGTTCCTTGCTGTCTGCGTTGCTGTGATGAAACAGCTTGTGCTTGAATTCTGCACTGCCAGGCCAAGGGCAGGTCTTTCTGCTTGGTTTCCTTTTTTTTGTAGAACAGCGATGATGTTCCCTCTTAGTGACGTGGTGGGGATTCTATGGTGTGACATTTGTGAAGCTGCCTGGGCCAGGTTGGAAGACGCCTCACTCTTCTTGGCCTGTGACCACGGTCAGCTCTGGCCTCTATCAGGAGCAGTCACTGAGACAATGGGCAATGCAAGAAGGCTGGTCAGGGTTTCCCTTCCTTCTCAGAGACAGCTCGGAGCCCCAGGGGAAGCAGGCGATCCTTCAGCCAGAATGCAGAAAACACAGACAGAGAAGTAAGCTGTGGTGATTATTAGCTCAGGATGGAGGAAGGAGGCCCCAAGAAACCATAGAAAGAATGGGAAGTCAGCCCAGGGGCTGGGGAGCGGGGGTGCAGACAACAAAAAAGATAAGGGGTACATGATTCTAGCTTTAATGTTTCATTTCTTTAAAAATATGTTTAAAACAGTATTACAAAGCATTAGAATTCAAAAGATCTAGGGTAGGGTACAGATAAACTCACTATATTTTCTTGTTTATTATTATTAAAATGTTTATAATGAAAATATTTTTAAAACAAGTCAATCCCTCAAGTTAAGTTTTAGAAGTATTTGGGGTAAAATTTCTTTTTTTGCTTCTACTTGTCTTTTTTTCCCATTTCCATAGTTTCTGTTATTAATATGAACTGCCATGTATTGATCACCAACATTGTACCAGGCACTTTATAAATAGGTCCCCTATTGTCCTTCCAGCAAGTCTATAAAATAATTACTCTTGTTCCCATTTGCCTGATGAGGAAGCTGAGGCTTACAATCACCCTGCTAGGACTCAGCAGAGGAAGGACTTGAACCCAAGTCTGGTGACAGGGACATCTGCACTTTTCTATGACAAAGTTTGGGGTCTTGCTGAAGAGTCTTCAATGAACAGGAGTAGATGGAAGAGGAAAGATTGGCAAAATGGGTGTGGTTTGTAAAGTGGGTGTGGCCTGTAAAGTGGGTGTGGTTTGGGTCTGGACTGCCTAGCCACTGGAATGTCTGATCTTTTCACTTTTCTGGAAAAGACAATAGTTTCTCTGTTTGCTTGTTTGGGTGAGGCCTCAGTTTATTAGGAGAGGTTGGCTGTGCCATCCGTGGCTCTGCTTGGCTTTTGTAGTCCATCAGGATTTGAAAAGGGACCGCAGTTTCACCTGAAAAGTGTGTGTCACTATTTCATTTCGGTATCTCCTACCTGTGACCTTCTTTTCATGATCTTCTTGTCATGATCTCCTCATCGGGAAGTGCAAACCATAACTGCCCCCCTCCCCTCGCATCTGGTCTCTACCTCTAGTGGTAGTTGGCTTCTTTTCCAAGGGTCTTACACTCAAGGAAAAAGCTGATAAAACACCCAACAACTGAGTAGTCACTCTGTAGTTGATCTCACTGGCTCTTGGGCCCATTGTTTCTGGAGAGATTTGGCAGCAAATGAGGAGAGATTGGGAAATCTCATCACAACATCCCCAGGGCAGCCACATTTCTCCAACCCCATGTTTATGAGTCATGGTGCTTCCTTTCCCAGAGCTAGCCAGATGAGGTGTGATGCTCCCGTGAAGGGTGTGGAGGTGTTGCTGTTTCTGAGCACTTCTGGCCCTTCCAAGGTGAGGACAGTGGCGACAGGTCTCAAATGTGCTGCTGCTGCTGCCTCTCCCAAACTAGCCTGCCTGTTGGGCAGTGCTAGCCCAAGGGATGCTCCTCAGGATTATTGAGAAGGACATCAGAGGTCCTTTATCCCAGTCTCCCACCCAAAGTATGGAGTCCCTTGTCCAAGTCCTGAACAGGTAGGTGCTTATGCGCTGCTTTGGTGATGAATCAACCATCCTCCCCACGAGAGAGCCCGGCCCAATCCCAACCAGCTCCATGAGAAAGTTCATCATAATATTCAGGGAAACTCTGTGCCTCTGTGGTCTTCACACACTATCTGAATTTCCGTTCTTGGAGCAATGCAAAACATTGTAGCTCAACACATGATGTTATGGAACGAGGCAGTCTGGGGAGATACCAGCCGAGGATCCTGTGGAAGTTGTGAAGGAGGGTTTGTTTCTGTTGACCTGCCTCACTCTTCTGTCTAGGAGAGTAGGTGTAACCCCAGCTGTCCCCTACCTAACTACTAATTCCCTGTTTTCTTGGAACAGATGACGTCTGGGCAGTATTTGTAAGATCTACAATATACTCAGAGCCTGTTTTTGGCCAGCTGTTCCCATGGGTTATCTTTATCCTTACATCATCTAAATGAGGTAGGTTCTGTTTTTCTTGCCTCACAAATAAGAAACTCATGCCAAAGGGCACTTGCCTGAGAATCTGTAGATAGGAAATGGCAGAGCTGGAATTCACATTTATTTTTGCCTGGTTCTGAGATTGTGGTCTTTGTTACACCATGCTACTCCAGACCCTGTGAGTTTCCTGAACACAGATGTTTTAGCCTCCACAACGCCTTTGTACAAGTTCATTCCTATACCAGTTCAAACCACATCACCACTTTCTTTTTCTTCTATAGCTACTGAATCAGAGCATCTGAATAGTCTCTCAACTGAATCCAAGTAATGATACGCCTTCGATTTTATAGGACAACTTACAGTTTTGCTATCTGGCATCTTGGTTGAACTCACCCTTTGAGGGAAACAGACAAGGCATTACGCACTCTGTGCAGATGAAGAAAGTCCAGCCGAGCGCAGGTTAATGGCTTGTCCAAAGCTCAAGAGCAGGACAGAACCTTCCAGCCTTCCCCGCAGCAGATACTTTCCTGAGCTCCTGTGCTGCCTTTCCGCCGGCTCAGGCACCCCCGCCCTGTCCTGTGCTGTGGTTTGCCCTCTGCTCGTCCCTGCCTCTGCAGCTGTTTATCTGGAGATGTCTCCAGACCCATCAGCCCAGGAGCCAGCTCTGTAGAGGGGCTTGCACTCCTACCCTCAGCAGCTGTGAGTCTGACTGCGGACGGAAGTAGAGGCAAGGAGGAGTGGGAGAGAGGAAAAGTTCAGAAGTCTGGGCAGAATGAGAAAGCAGGAGAGAGGAGAGCTCATTGTTCTCCAATGCGGGGGATGTCTGAGTCCAAGAAAAAGGACCAGGAAGCCCCCATTGTTCCTCTGGCCTAAGTGGGATGCAAGAAATCGGATTCATTTCTCTGGATTCATGTGGGAAGTCCTGGCTGTGTCAGCTAACCTTCAGCTATAACCTTTCAAACTGTGGCTGTTGGGAAAATGAAGACTGCCTTCCAAAGCTTCTCCAACAACACAGGAGGCTGCTGATTGGAAAGGCAATGGGGAGCCAACAGAACTAACCTGCTCGGCACCACGCACCCCCTTTCCCACCCACACTGCTGGTTTCTCGTACACCCGTTCACCATCTCTTCATCCAGCCAGCCAGGCATTACTTTCTAGTGCTCACGAGTGCCTCCCATGTGCCAGGTCCGTACTAGGCCAAGAGGCTGAAGGGCAGATAGCACCTAACCCCTGACTCTGAGGACCTCACAGTCCACACAAAAATGACCATCAAGTCAGGGCTCAGTGCATATTTGTTGAACAGATAACACAGAAACATGAAATATTGCAATAAAGGGTTATGCAGTCTTGTGCCTGCCCTCCCCACCAACATGAGTTATTCACCTAGTTACAGAACACGTCGCTAGAAAAACATCCCTTGCTCTTAAGCATGTTGGCTTTTTCTAGTGTTTCTCAGAGATGAGTACGTAGAGCTTTGAGGGTAGGGGGTGGGGGAAGAACCCAATCCAATAGGTAACGTGTACACACAAAAGATGACTGAAAGAAATAACATTTGGGCAGCCTAGAAAGGTAACACCTGAAGGACAAAAATGACAACCCAAACTGGTAACATCAAAGAACGTTAAACCTGGAAACGACTTTCCAAGAAAGCTAGTCCAGTAGCTCTCATCTGTTTTGAGTCATGGAATCCATTTCTGAGGAGATTGCCAGATTCTCTCCTCAAATAAATGCAACTGTGCACAAACACTAACCTTTACCCTAAACTCATTAACCCTGATTAGGTTTCCATTGGTGGTATCTCGGATTCCCTGGAGTTTATTTGTCTCAAGGACCCTCCCACCCTCAACTTAGAATCTCTAATGGGGTTCAATGGCTTCGCCTCTCTTAGCAGAGACCTTGCGGTGACTTCTTCAAGGTCACACAGCCAGTTAGTGAAAAGATTCCTTTGGTTTTAAGAAGGAACACAGAAACCAGCTGCTTGAGTTCAAAGCCTGACCTTACCTTTTGCCAGCTGTTTGATTTTAATTAAAATACTTAACTCTTCTTGGCCTCTTGTTTTCTCTTCTGTAAAATGGGAACAATAGTTACCCACTTCTTAAGGCTATTGTGAGGATTAGGACTTCATCTATGTGAAAAACTTAGAGCAGAGGTCAGCAAACTGTTTTTGTAGAAGGCTAGATAGTAAGTATTTTAAGCTTTGTTGGCTAAGGAGCAAAATTCATGGCTGTTCTGGGCATACTTATAGAATTATTTAAAAATGTCAAATACAGGGGCACCTGGGTGGCTCAGTCAATTAAGGGTCGACTTCAGCTCAGGTCATGATCTCACAGTCCGTGAGTTTGAGCCCCACATCGGGCTCTGTACTGACAGCTCAGAGCCTGGAGCCTGCTTCAGATCCTGTGTCTCCCTCTCTCTCTCTGCCCCTCCCCCGCTCATGCTCGAGCGCGTGCTCTCTCTCTCTTTCAAAAATAAGTAAACATTAAAAAAAATGAAAAAAAAAAAAAAGAAAGAAACATGTAAAATACATTCTTAGATCACAGACCGTATAAAAACAGGTGGTCATACAAACACAGGATTTGGCCGGTGGTTTGTAGTTTGCTCACTCTTAGCTTAGCAGAAGTGCTAGTTTCTGCTGTCCCAAACCAGCACTTTTTCAAACGTCAGGATTACCTCCGTGTGGCACGAATCACAACAGGAAACAGGGTGCTGGCCGCCCAGCTCAGCCAACCTGTTTGTGACAAATAAGTCAACGTTGCTAAGGTGTATGGAGCCTCCCTGCTCCTCCCTGTCGCAGAGGGTTTCCCATCCACATCCAGCTTAAATAGGCAAAGCAGCAAAAGCTCTAATTATTTTCCGGAAAGCCTCAAGTCAGATGCTGGCATCACAGGACAGAGACAGGTGGGAGGAGCTGGAATGGGGACCACAGGCCTTGGTTTCTAGGGAGGGGCAGAAGCACAGGAAAGAGAAAGGTACCATATTCTGGCTCTGGGGTACTCTGCCCTCTTCCAGCTATGGGGTATTGGGAAACCCCTGACTCTTGTACCTATAGGTGGCCAGTTCTGCCAGCTCAGCCACCTTCTGCCCATGTCTCCCTTCCTTTAGAGCATCCCTGACTGAGGAAACTCCAAACACAAACACAATCACAGTTTGTGAGTTAGAGGGGACCCCACCATCTATTTGCAACTGTTTCATTTCACTGATAGGAAAACAAAGGCCCAGTTTGGGGAAGTGACTTGCCCGGGATCAGATGGCAAGCAGAGCTGCACTGAGATTAGAAACCCAGCCTCCTGGGGCACCTGGGTGGCTCAGTCGGTAGAGCGTCCGACTTCAGCTCAGGTCATGATCTCACGGTTGGTGGGTTTGAGCCCCGCATCGTGCTCTGTGCTGACAGCTCAGAGCTTGGAGCCTGCTTCGGATTCTGTGTCCCTCTCTCTCTGCCCCTCCCTCACTGTGCTCAGTCTCTCTCATTCTCTCAAAAATAAGTAAACATTAAAAAGAAAAAGAAAAAAAGAAACCTAGCTCCTGCCTTCCAGGCCAGTGCTTCTCCCCTGCCTGCATTAGTACAAGTTTCTGTCTTTGGCACACAAAGGAAAGTGGCAGAGGAGTTGTCCAGTGTGTGTGTGTGTGTGTGTGTGTGTGTGTGTGTGTGTGTGTAGGTGTGTGTGATGTTCATCAAGTGCAGTGGATTCGACCTGGGCACAGTTCTTTGCAGAGCGCATTCACTTGTTTAGCTCGCTCTAAGTGCCTTCTAGGGTGCGAAAGATGAAAGAAGATCGAATTTTTGCTTTTGAGGAACTCAGCTTATAATTTGGTGTGATTACCGTTACTCATTAGTAAACCCAAAGGTCGGGAATGGAGATGGCCAGCCATCAGAGTCTCTGTGCCAGCCCAACAGGGACATCCACTCATGGTGTTTATAGCAGCCCACCTCTCTGTGGAGTCAAAGAATGCGTCCCCTCCAGAATCGTGATGCCCTGGGATGCCTCTTCCTGCCATGTCCCCCTGTGCTCCCTCTCTCCATTCAAACACTGCTCTTAACCAAGGGTCCCCTTGGGAATGAAGGAAGTCACACATATCGAGCATCGTTCGGGTAAGCATTTTTATGTAGCACTGACTCATTCAGCCCACACAGAAAGCCTATCACACAGGAACCGGTGGAGAACTGAGGCCCAGAGAGGGGAAGGGCCTTACCCAGGCTCACATGGCAAGTGCGTTTTAAAGCCTGCATTCCGACGGTTTGTCTCCTCTACAGTCTGCATGCCTTCTGCTGGAAAATAGGGCTAATGTTAGACACGGCAAAAGGGCTGTTGTGTGGTGTGGGGAAGATAGCTCTTGTGGACATGCCAGCCCAGTGCCTGGTACATCGTAAGTGTTCAGTACATGCTCCCCACCCCCCACCCCCGCCCCTTCTCTCCCTCATCCCTGCTCCATCCCAAAGAAATTCATGACTTGCCGAGGACAGAAGTCCTTCAGCAGAAAAATAACCTCCACCTGTTTTTGAGCTCCCTGTGGTGTAGGCTTATGGCGTATCTGATTTAATCCTTACAAATATGCTATGAACTAGGCACTATTGTTAACTCCTCTTTACAGATGATCGAGTCAAGGCAGGGACTTGCTCAAGACCACACAGCTAATCAGCGATGGATTCGGGATCCAAAAATCTGGTCTGTTTGAGTCTGAAGTCCATGCTCTTAAATAGTAAAGGCTGCGTTGGTGCCTGAGTTGGCACTCCTATGCCAAGTGCATGCCTGGCAGGCTGCCTGATGGAGCAGGACTGGGCAGGCCACTTAATGAGGGGACTGACCTGGGGAAGGAATGAGGTCACATTCCAGGAGGCTGAGGCAAGGCAGTCCACACATCGCTTCAAAAGACTCACTCTCTTGGAAAAAAAAAAAAAAAAAAAAAACTAGCAGGGTTGGATACCTCCACCAAAGAAGAAAACTGGATACACAAAAGGGATATCAGGACCGAGCAAAGGACTCAAACTTCCAGGGCCAGAGCCCTAAAGGGGACCAGTCACTCACTCCTGTGAGGCTGGGCCCAAAAGTGGAAGCCATTGGCATCACCATCCAAGGACTCATTCATGTCCTGTCTCCTTTCCATTTCCACTCCTAAACTCCAAAGAATCAACGGGCCTTTCTTCCAGGCTTTTACCCCTCTGTGTATGTGCCTTAAACACTTAGCACATTATTAATTAATTCACTTGTTTTAGAAATGTTTTAGAGCACCTGCTTTATTCCAGGCACTGTGCTAGGAGCAGTGCATATGGTGCGTTCACTACCCCCATGCACCTTACCATCTATGAGGAAGCCAGACATTAAACTAAAAGTGAGCATTAGGTTAGGTAAAGTACAGGGGGCTACAGGAACTAACTTCCTGCTTTCCTTCCTTTCTTCCACTGCCTTTCTCTTCCTCCTTTCTTATCTTCCTTCCATAAATACTTATGACGTGCCTGCTAGATGCCAGGCCTGGTCTTGGTGCTGGGGATAAAGCAACAGATAAGAGAGGTAAGATTCCTGCCCTCTTTCAGCTTACATTGCACTGATAGACTGGGGGATTTGACCCAGGAGAGGAAAAGCTTATGAGCCATACTGAAGAGTTTGAATTTTCTCTGGTTGTTGAAAGAAACCCAATATTGACTTTAGGCAAGGGAATGGTCTGAGCATATTTGTGTTTCAGAAACACCACAGTGGAAAACAACACATAGGATGAGTGGGCCTCTCAAGAATAAGACTGGTGGCAGGAGGTTCAGATCAGAGGCTCCTGGGACATCCTAGAGATATGGCGGAGCCCTAGACCAAGAAGGGCTGATGGGAAGGATAGAGAACCTCACAGCTTACCCAGGACAGGGCCAGCCGGTGACACTGGCACCCTGGTATGACAAAGCAGTACCTCTTCAAACCAATATTTTAAAAATAGACACCTCCATTTAGTGGGCATGAAGGGAGACAAAGTATTATTAAAAGTTACATTCCAGGGCACCTGGGTGGCCCAGTTGGTTAAGTGTCTGATTTCAGCTCAGGTCATGATCTCACAGTTTGTGAGTTTGAGCCTTGTGTCTGGCTGTGCTGACAGCTCAGAGCCTGGAGCCTGCTTCAGATTCTGTGTCTCTGACTCTCTCTGCCCCTCCTCCACTCTCTGCCCCCCCCCTCAAAAATAAATAAACATTAAAAAAAGTTACATGCCTATTCCTTTATGTTTTTTACATGTACTGAATATAACATTTCAGATAATTTGGAATCATCTTTTTCTTCACAGTCTGTCTCTTACAGCTGGGTAGCAGACCAGCCCCTCTGCTAGAGAGACCACATGGAAAGGTCCTGAGACTACATAGTAAGGGAGAAGTGTCCAGTGCAGCCCAGCTGTCCCCAAGGAGCCAGTCATTCAAGTGATGACATCATCCTAGGACCCTCAGACCAGCCTGGCTGCCAGCTGATACCAATGAGTGACCGCCATCAAAATCACATGAAGCTCAAGTATCTCCCAGCTGAGCCCTGCCTGAAATCATGACCCAGAAACTGTGAGATATAATAAAATAATTGTATCTGCAAACCACTAAATTTGGGATCATTTGTTGTCCAGCAAAGGATAAATAGAACATCCCGATTTGTTGACACTTGATAAATATAAAAGTAGGTAAGTCTTGGCACCATTTGAAAGCCTCTTCATATGATCCCTACAAAGGTCACGGTGACTGAACTCCAACATCCATGCCACCCCATCTGATGGGTCTGCAGAAACCATGAGAACATCATTCTCCTTTCCAGGTAGGTGTGGGGAGGTCCTCAAGTCATGAGGAAAGGCTCCTGGAAAGGCCAGAAAAGAATACTTCAGGGGCATCTAGCCTTTTTTTTTCTCCTTCCCGTGATGGCAAAGAAGACACATGTGTCCTGGATGCCATTGGCAGCCACCGTATGAACACAGAGGAGCCAGGCTTAGGAGGAGGCTGGTGCTACATAAGACAGAGGGGAGGGATGAAAAGAACAAGACCTAGGACCAAAATGGCATCATCACATCTTTGAATCAACCAACTCCTGAAGCCTCCCCTACTGTTGGACATCTGCTATGTGAACTAATGTGCTTGCCTCTAGCTTAACCCAGTTTGTGTAGGATTTGTTGCTTGCTGCCCAAGACAACCCAATTAATGCCATAGTTCCTTTCTCTGACATCTGAACATTTGCTCAGTAAGTTTGATTTCTTTAGTTCTTGCTCATCCAGAGATCGATCAAACTATGCTCACTTGCTCTATTCAATGTCCCAGAATGGAGAATGGGAGAGAAACAAATTTGATCTGTCACTTAACCCATACATTTGGCTTACTACATAAAATCCATGAAAGCTATGCCTCTAAACAGTAAAAGAGTGCTACACATGAATATTAAGAACAATAATTATAAGGATAATGAATATCATTGAGGAGTTCCAATATGCCAAGCTTAATTTCAAATGCCATATAGATTACTCCATTCAATTCTGACAACAATTCCACATGGTGAGGATATTTTAATCTCCATTTTACAAAGTAGGAGCTGGGACAGGGAAACGTTAGGTTAATTTTCCTAGGTTACACAGCAGCAAGGAGTAGAACTGGAATTTAAACTGACAAAGTCTGACTCCATAGCTTCACCTCTTCATGACTATCCTAAACCAAGAAAGTAGTAACAAAGGTAACAGTAGCACTGAAAGAAAAAATTAAATGTTTCATAGATTTATAAGCAAGGCAGGAGGATTCGTGGGTGGTGTGGATTGGGGGTGAATGGATCAATACTGATATCAAGTGAGAATGAGGCATAAGTGGGTCCTCAACATCTTACATGACCATGACCACTATCTATCAATGTCTTATAAATAGCTGTACTTGATACTTACATATATATGTATACATATGCATACACACATATTATAAAGTTCTAATTAATACCTCTTTTGTAGGTCACCTTGATCTTGCAAACTTTAGTTTTGTTGTCCATAGTTGTGTGTATCTTGGGGGAAGTGTGACCCTAGACAACAGGTATCAAAACTAAGACCCAAAGCAGTGGTTCTCCCTGGACCAGCCCTAGTTACTCCCCTGGGCTTTGCTGCCTTTGGGCTGTTACTAAACTCACTCTGCTAACAATTTCCATTGTTGTTGTTTTTTTTTTTTTTTTAATTTTTTTTTTCCAACGTTTATTTATTTTTGGGACAGAGAGAGACAGAGCATGAACGGGGGAGGGGCAGAGAGAGAGGGAGACACAGAATCGGAAACAGGCTCCAGGCTCGGAGCCATCAGCCCAGAGCCCGACGCGGGGCTCGAACCCACGGACCGCGAGATCGTGACCTGG